GGGGCCTGGCAGTGTCACTTGTGTCGCTGGAGGGAAAGAGTGGACAGGCTTCCTACTGGGCCTTCAAGGGCCTTCCATAAGGGCATTAGCCATTTCTACCTTCCCAGTTGACCTTTCAAATTTTCCACTCTCCTTACACAAAAATTGGCTGTAAAAAGTGTACTCTGCAGTGTTTTCTTTTTCTTTCATGTAGGCAAGCCTGTCTGGCTTCGTTTCTCTACCTCAGCTGGACAAGCTAGACAATCTCAAAGTCCCTTCCAGCTCCAAAGGCCCTCAGGACCCAGGATGCTGGGGCTCATGGCCCCTGTTGCAGAGCGCCTTCAGACTAGGTCCTGGCCAACACTCCTTCACTGTCCTTGCCCTCCCCTTATCTCATAAAACCCGGTGTGCTGGCCTCCCAGGCAGTGGGTGCCCACAGACAAACTCTGAAAGAAATGTCCTGGCTGTGCAGCAGGGGGCACAAAGCAGACCAGCTCCCAGGTCTCCTGATTGCTGGTCTTCCCCAACAATTCCCCTCCATGTTCATGTCCCCAGCAATTCCCCATATGCTGCTCAGTGTCACTGTGTGATATAAAGCACAGAGCTCTGGGGCCAACTTCTAGGTCCCTCAGGTGCAAGACAATAGTAGCAGTGCCAGCCCCCAGAGGGTTACTGTGAGGATCAAATGAGAAAGTGTGTTCTAAAGGGCTTTGTAAATTGTGAAGTACATTCATGTGCAGAAGTCCCTGATTGGTTTAGTCACCCCTTCTGAGTGACTGTCTCCATTTCTGATCATAGAAAAGGAAGGAGGCAGGGGTGCCTGGGTGGCTCAGGCAGTTAAGCATCCGACTCTTGGTTTCAGCTCAGGTCATGATATCACGGTTTGTGAGTTCGAGCCCCGCATCGGGCTCTGCACTGTCAGTGCAGAGCCTGCTTCAGATTCTCTCTCTCCGTGTCTGCCCCTCAGCTGCTCGCATTCTTGCTCTCTCTCTCTCTCTCTCAAAAATAAATAAATAAACATTAAAAAGAAAAGAAAAGGGAGGAGGCAGAGGAACCCACCTGGATCTGCCAATTCATGCTTCCCTTTGCTACTGTCTGGGGGGAATCTCCCATGGAGCCCATGGACCCTGATTTTACAGACAAGGAAACTGGAACATGGCTGAGGGCATACTGGGAATTCATGGCAGGGCCAAATGTTAGCATCCTAGTCTCTCTGAGTCTTAGAAAGGTCTGGAGGTACCCCACCCGCATCTTGGTAGAGCTGGTTCAGGGGGATGGCAGGTGAGCCCACACCTCCCTATTTGAGTGTCCCAGGATCTGCTCTGTGCCCTTCGCCTGCAGGCCACAGCCCTGCTTCCCTCCGAACAGGAAGGTGCCCATCAACTCTGCTGAGCTTCCCTGGCTCTCCTCTGCCTCCCTTACCCTAGACAAGCCGCTCTGACCAGAGTCGCCTCCCTCCCCCAGCACACACACAACACACACCTTCTGACTATGATTTGTAGGAATCAAATGAAAAGCTAAACCTATAAGCCAGCTCCTTAGCCCAGTGCCATGAAATAGGCTGCTGTTGTCGGATGGCCACTGGGCACCTTCCTCTTTGGCTGTTTCACCTCTCCAGACCCACCCGCCCTCACTGCACTCACATTCCTGTTTCTCCTCACAATTAAGCTCTCCTGCCTATGCCTCCTCCTTCTCCCCAAGCTAACCCATTTCCACTAATGTGGCAGTGGGTTCAGGCACTTATCCATTTGTTCGTGTATGGATCATCTTTTAATTCATTCAATTGAACGGTCAACAAATATGAACTGGAAAACTGGCCATGCTTCAGATACTGCATTAAGCATTTATGCACGACTTTGGAGTCTGACTTTTGTGTTCGAAATCTAGTTCCACTAGTTCTTAGTAATCTTAGGAAAACTATTTAATATCTTTAAGGCTCGATTTCCTCACCTGTAATATAGGAACAATCATAGTACCTAACTCAGGGGAATGGCATGAAGATTAAGTGGGATGATGCACTGGAACTGAAAAGATGTCGCTAGTTCTTCCAGTAGTTTCACTATTAGCCATTATCATTAGTAAGCACTGGGGATAGATTAATAAGATATAGGCCATGTCTTCCAGGGGGATTGGTGGGGAAATAGGCTAGGTATTTATAACATGGAGTATGAGTAGGCTAATAGGGAATGAAAAGGGGGTGCCCCTAAATGCCTGGTATGCCTGGCATGGTGGAGAGGGGGTGTTAGGAAGACCTCCTGGAGGGGCAGCACTTGAGCCTGGATCTGAGAAAGGTGAGAACTGAGAGAAGGACATTTCAGAAATAGAGAGACTGGCAGGTGCAATAACAGGTGTAGGAAAGCAGATCTGCATCTGAGAACGGCAGGTATTTGGCCTGAATGGACTCCAGGCAGGAAGGAAAGATCCTGAAGAGATTTGTGGGCAATGTTGAGAAGCTTGGACTCGACCTACTGCTGGATTGTAAGCCAGGAGCAACCTGGCTGAATTGGCACTTCAGAAACATCACTGTGATGGCTCATTTGGAAAAAGGACGGGTGGGAGACTGGTTAGGAGTTGTTGTCCAGGCCAGGGGGTGCTTCAGTGAAGGCAGGGCCAAGGGCCCAGGGAGAGTAGGCTAATTTTAGGAGATAATCAGGAGTTGGGCTGGCAGCAATCAGTGGCTGATGGGCTAAGGGAGGTCAGGAAGACAGAGAAATACGAGGTGGCACCCAGGTTTCTCCCAGAGTGACTGGATGGGCACTGTCCTCACTCGCCAAGACCAGAAATGCTGGAATGAAGGTGGGTGTGTGTGTGAAGTAGTGAATTGTATATGTGAATGGATACAAATACTATAAGAGCAGACTGGGAACAAGGAGAGTAGAAAATACAGGAAGGAGGGCAGATGGTGGTGAGCGAGGTTCCTGAAGAGGGAGGTTAAGGGACCCAGAAAGCAGGGAATTCAGTGGAAGTTCCCACAGGAGGGAAAGGCAGGGTGGGGGCGGGGGCGGGGGCCTTTAGGGTGTCCTGCCCACTCCCTGCTAAGAGCCCTTTCCCCTCCTTCCATCTGTCTCCTCCCATCTGTGCTTTTCTCCCTACATGCTCACTCCCAGGACTTGTACTGTTTGTTCTTAATAGAACCAAGGACATCCACTGGCATTCCTACCTTCTTACTTATTTCCAGAACTCCTCCATGCATCTTCCCAAGTTTAGTTCCTCTACTCCTTTTATTTGAGATTCACCTTCACCTGGCCAGTCTCACCCAACACAATAGCTCTGCCCCAAAAACTAATACCAAAAAAATCATACCAAGGGTGATCCAGAGTGGGTTCTCTTTGCATTTGACATCTAGAAAGTGGCCCTTCAGGATAAAAGCCAGCCAGAGTTCTAGGCTTGAGAGGCTCTCCCAGCTGTGAGCTGTAGTCTTGGGACCCTGGTATTCTTTCCTGTAGGGGCACAGCCCCTTGCATCCCCAGAGAGGCCATCAGCTCACCTCTCCCACCTGGCTCCCCCACTATAGTACAACACCTGCCATGGAATGCTTCATTGCCCAAGAGCTATCAAATGCTCACATGGCATAAGGCCCTGAGAGTTCATTGGCTTCCACACTTCTTCCCAGCTGAGCAACACTGCCAAGAAAAACCTGAGGGCAAGTGAGAAAACCAGTTGTGATCTGCCCAGTAAGCAGGTGGCAGTGCAGCAGCCACCCTGCCTTCGGTGTCTCTTGGAGTCTTAAAGATGGAAGGGGGAACAAACATACCAGGACCAGTTTCCTGAAGTTCCAAGCCACCCAGCTGTTCTGTGAAGAGTGGCCCAGGAACCAGAGACAGTGGCCATGGAGCAAGGTAGGGGAGGCCCCCTGGGGCTGCAGGAGCTAAGGAAGAAGGAAGACAGAGAGACTGTAGGAAGTCAAGGGGAGAATGGATTCAGAGGAAGAAAGGAGTAAATAAAGAACTGAGGCTGAAAGAACCCAGAAATTTCAGAATTTGTTGATAGTCTGAGACCCACGAAACGAGGTGGAGGCCGGCTGGTAAACATAGCCAAACAGCTGTGTACCAGCACGCCTGCTTCCATAGCCCAGTGGGATGGGGCAGGGCCAGGGATTAGTGGGTCAGGGAGCCTGTCCTCTGCCACTTGCTGATGCCTTAACATTTAGCAAGTCACTTCTCTAGTTCCCAGCCCCATGCCTGAAACGTGAGGGGGCGGGTGGACAGGATGAACTTGAAGTTTTCTTCTGGCTCTGAAATTCTCTGCATCTTCAAACCTTCTCTTTTTCCCCACTTCAGAAAGTCTGTTCCTCATTTCAGCTAATCTGTTCTGTCTATATTTCCTCTCTAGAAAGCTGCTTTGACGATTAGTTCGTTAGTTAAAACCATTTCTAAAAATGAGCTCAAATTTCTACATATTTAACAGCTTCACCTTCACTTACTCTTTTTGTTTAAATTTTTATAATTTTGGGGGTGCTTGGGTGGCTCAGTTGCTTAACCATCTGACTCCTGATTTTGGCTCAAGTTGTGATCTCACGGTTTGTGAGATACAGCCCTGAGAGTAGGGCCCTGTGCTGACAGCACGGAGCCTGCTTGGGATTCTCTCTCTTCCTCTCTCTCTCTCTCTCCCTCTCTCTGTCTCTCTCTCTCTTTCTCTCTCTCTTTCTGCCCTGCCCTGCTCACTCTCTCTCAAAAATAAATAAATATTGGGGCGCC